AATCCACCACCAGAGGCTCCCTGGAGTGCAGAGGCCTCCTTATTGACATCCATGTTCAGGGGTCTGGATCAGTCTTGTACTGGCCTCCCCGACAGCATCTGGGGTCGATGTGCTCTCCCTTGTTCAGGCCACCTGTTCCTGTGGGTTTCTCCAACCTAGTACAGACCCCTTCACTCTTCATTCCTCCCTCTCTTCAACTAAATTCCTGATTTTAGCTCAGTGTATATCTGTGGATGTCTGTCTCTGCTTCCATCAGCCACTGAATGAGGGCTCTCGTTCTCGGGTCAGTCGGCGGAAAGGGATCCAGAACTCATTTTCTTTAACCTGGACTTTGCTTGCCTTTGCTTTGCCATCTGATGGAGTTGTTAGAAGTATTCTCATTTTCTTTGACTCTTCTAGTAACTGTGACGGAGGTCTTACCAAAGGAAAAGAAACAGAAGGAAGAGAAGACCTTAACTCTGGGCCAAGCTGTGGTGGACCTTCTTCCTTTACTAGAAGGTCAGATATATAATCTATCCAAAAGCAAAAACAAAACAAAACAAAACAAAACAAAAACAAAACACACAAAAACACACAAAACCTATCCCCAGCAATGTATAAAACTCAGCCTCCATGGCTTTGAAAGGTTTTAGTGGGAAATGAGGTTGCATGTCTGTGTCTATAGTAACTCTGACTTGACTCTTCTTTGACTCATTTGACCTTACAGGAGAGGAATCATTTGAAACAGTGGTCCCATTACACCCTGTGCAGGGGTCACCCTTAGAAACTCCTTCACCAGTCTCTAAGGTAATCTGATTTTAAGTTTTAGCATTTTCAGCTGCCTCATAATCCAGTTATTAAGGTGGAGTTCAGGTGAGTACAATGCATTGGGCACTTCCTTTCACAATACCTGTAGGGCTAATTACTGGTAAACAGGCATGAATAATGCTAAGTCCCACCTTGTGGATTGTACCCCCAGTGTGATGAATCAGTGTGGTAGAGAACAGGTATTAGTTACTTTGCCCAGAAAGGCAAGTAACTTGGGGAAGGCTTAACTATGGATGCTTCTTGAGCTGTGTGCCAGAGGGTTAAATTGTATATGATAGTATATACTTAGGCATGGCAGTCTGTCTGTGGTTGAAGACTTCTAATTCAACAGTACCAGCCAATACCTTATCCTGAATTCCAAAATGTGAGACTTTGCAACATACTGGAATTCTCTTCAATGCCACCCTATAAACATCTAGACATACCATTCTACAATTGAACTCAGCATCTTCCCCTTAACTTATGCTATTTTCTTAATATTAGTGTCTTGGGCCAATGATAGTACCTATCCTTGAAATTACATGACATATAGGACCTAAGTTACACCCTTGGATCCTCACTACAGCCAATCTCCAAATCCAACCTATGCTCCCTCCTAAGTCTTTAGACTCTTTCATTTTTTCTTCCTTGCTTTCTGTCTTTCTTTCTTTCTTTTTTTGAGACAGTGTTCACTGTGTAGCTTTGTAGATGAGGCTGGCCTCGAGCTCACAGAGGTCTACCTGCCTCTGCCTCCCAAGTGCTGGAAATAAAGGTGTGCACCACCACCACACAGCTGAAAATATCTTACAATAAATCACTATGTTTAAATTAATAAAATAATCATAAGGGAGTGGGTATGGGGAAAACATCTTCAGTCTTAACACCTGGGAGGCAGAAGCAAGGTGGATCTCTATGAGTTTAAGGCCTGGCTGGTCTAGGGAGCAAGTTCCAGGCCAGGCAGGGATACATAGTGAGACCCTATGTAATAATAGCAATGATGATGATGATGATGATGGAGATGGAGATGGCTTAGGTATAAAGCACTTGCCATACAAGTGTGAGTACCTAGGTTGGAATTTCCAGAATCTAAAAGCCAAACGTGGGCCTGTAATCCCAGTGGAAAGTGATGACCAATATCCAAGGTTGTCCTTCAGCCTCCACATGCTCACAATGGCACATGTGTGCCCAAACACATACACACATGTCATACATGCACACACCCCACATAATCATAAAATACAACCTAGCAAAATAAAAGCACTCAATCCCATTTCATGAGTGCGAACTAGCTATGATGTTCAGTATGGAATCATCCAGGTCCTCTCTCATGTGTGTATGTGTTTGTATTTTACCTCCCTCTCATAGAATGAAAAGGAATCTAGTTCAGCATAAGACTCCAGTTCTTCTCCTGACTCTTTCTTTGACTCCTGGGGAAAGATAAATTTTAAGTCCTCTGGAAATAATTGAGTTTAATCTCTTCTTGAAGAGTGGTAGCAAATAATGTCAATGAAGACCATGAGGAGCTATGGCAATTTTCATAAGTGCTGTGTAATTTTATTTTATAGCAATGCAGTCTTGATGTGAAGGTGTTTGTGGCAGAGCCCTTACTGACCCCAGCCCAGGTCTCAGCGAGCAATCTGCTGAAGGTCACCCTGGAGGCTGCCTATTCTGTGCCTGAGTCATTCATGCCAGTAGGGCCTCAGCAGAACTACATGGTTGGTCTGCAAGTTCCATCAGTGGGAGAGGTAAAAGCCCTACTTCCAGATACTTCATGGTGGGCTCAAGAAAGCCTACACTCCCTGCCAATACTGCATTCAAACTCACTCTACCAATGGCTAAGATTTATTTTAGGCTTAAAAACTAACATTGATTTTTGTTTTTACCTGTATATATGCATATCTTTTGTTTTACATGTATATTTTCATAGCCATATACAGTTACACAATCTAATACATTGCATGTAATTTATATTAATCACTATATAGTTATGGTTCAAAATATGTGCAACATTTAAAAGTTGCCAGGTCTTGGTATGCTTATACATGGGTTGTTTTATGGGCTTTGTGTAAGTATCTCATTATGAAGTGCTCCCTCTTAATTCCAGGTATTGTTTAGATCAGATCTCCAGATACTATAGGAACACATGAGGTTCCCAAAGGAGAGTCCCAAGATGCAATAAGTTAATGACCCCACCCATGACAGAGAAGCAGCTGTGCATGTAAATTTTCATAACGCTCATACACTGGGGATTTGGGTGGGTCCCAGAGACACTTGACTTCCATTTCTAAAACTGGAGTAATTCAAGGTGAGTCTGGATAGTTGCTTTCCTGCCTAGGGACAACCCCATGAGGGACAACCCCATGACTCGTGTGGAACATCTGTGCAAATTGCTCAGCTCCAACTTCAGGTTTCTACTTTTTTCCCCTTTGGGCTGGTGAGATGACTTGAAGAGTAAAGGTTTATTGCTGAGCCCAGTGACTTGAGTTTGATCCCATGAACCTACACTGGGAAAGAGAACACCAGCTCCCACATTTGTGCACATGAATGCACACATATGTGGGTTAATAAATAAAACACTTTTTAAAAGGAGTAATTTATGTTTTATCATGTTTTCTGTAATCCATAGAGTTATACACTAGCACAAATAGAACAAAAGGCACAGGCCCCTCCTATGTAATCACTGGAATAATACCCAGAATTCTACTGGAAAAAGTAGTAAGCAGACTTTTTATATATTCCAGAGACCTTTGCAAGTGTCCTCACATCTAGCATTTACTGTTTTAGAAAGACTACCCCATGGTATTCAAGAATGGAAATCTGAAGCTTGGAGGTGAAAAAGAACCTGTTCCCCGGCCTAAAAAATGGCCTATTCCTAACATTCTTGCTCCAGGAGCTAATAACATTCCTGATGCATTCATTGTGGGTGGTCCCTATGAGGAAGAAGAAGGAGAACTCAACCACCCAGAGGTGAGAGAGAACAGGTGTCTATGATAAACACTGTTCACTAACAGATTATATACTTTTTGTTAATCTGAAATTTATACATACACACACACACACACACACACACACACACACACACACACACCCCTAGCATTTGTCAAAACTGGTTGCATGTGAAAATCAATATCATCTAATTCTGCAAACAGAATAATTTACATCCAATTTGCTCTTTCTTTTTTTATTACTTTTTGAGAAGGTAAGTATGTTATCTAGTTGTTACTATAATGAAATCCCCAAGATAATCAACTTACAAGGAGCAAAGGTCTGTTCTGGTTCATATTTGGAAGGTCGGCTCTGTGATGGGTTGGGCCCTCTGTTCTATGCCTAAGTAGCCCCCACTAGGCTTCATTTCCTAAAGGCTCCAAACCTACCAGTAGTACCACTCTTGGGGCCTTTAACACAGAGGTCTTTGGGAGAGATTCAGCTTCCAAACTATAGCAATAGTAATGCAATTCAAAATTTAAAATTAAAAAGTGGAAAGTAAAAGTCTTTCTCCCATGTTTGTGTCTCCTTGCTAATTCTTTTCCATCCTGTTTCCTTAATAGTTACTTTGTCAGTTTCTTCCAGATGCCTTCTGTACAAAAGAAAATAAGTACAGTGAAGGGAGACTACAGGACAGGACCTGCTAGACAGAAAGGGAATCAGATTTCTGAAGGACAGGCTTACCAAACAAAAACTTAAAAAAAAAAAATAAAAAAAACAATAAAAACACTGGGTGTATGGTGAGATGCTGCAGACAGCTGAGTTTTGAAAAGAGAGAAATGACTGAGGTGACATGCTTCACCTCTCCAGCAGTGGCAGTCCTTCCTTGGAA